GGGCAGAAGGTAGGTAATTTTACCCTAAATGACAATGTTATCACACTGGCACCAACGACATAGTGACCTCTAGGATGCTCTTCAATCTGTAGTGTGTGTGTGTGTGTGTGTGTGTGTGTGTGTGTGTGTGACTGGGGATTGAACCCCGGGCACTGAATGACATCCTGGAGGCTTTTTTTTCCTAGACAGGATCTTACTACATAGCCCATGCCGCCCTTAAACTTGTGATCCTTTTGCTTCAGCCTCCCAAAGACAAAATTTTAATATTTAAAAAGTTTTTAAAAATATTTTATATCCACTTTGTAGGAGAATTTTGCAATCAATAGATGATCTGGGTTATACAGCTTTGAAAATTAAAACAAAACAGCAGATGAGCTCAGGGTATCATCCCACTGGATTGGCATTTTAACTATTCTTTATTTCTTCTTTCTGATTAAAAAGAACAGTCATCATCTTCACATCCAGAATCATAAAAAGGGTTTTCAGGATTACTAGCAAACTGCTTAAAATTAAACTACCGAGGAAGTTAGTGATTATTACTATATGGTAGCATGATGTAGAAAAACTCTAAATTGGGAAAAAAAGAAAACCTCTTTTTATCACAATTAATTTGCTGTTTGCCTTTTCTCCCTAAAGGATTCTCCACTGTGCAAGTCACGGTGACCTGTGTCCTTTCCCCAAGCCAAGGGGACACCATGGCCATCTTGTTAACCTAATGCCGTGGTTTGTGTCTGAACGTCCCCTCAAAGCCTCATGTGGTCAGGGAGAGGGGCAGGCTTTTCAGAGGTGGCTGAGTCTAGAGTCTGTGATTGGTTCATTGTCTAGTGCTAGGATTGGCTGTGTGAGTGCTGCACCCGCCCAGGGGCGGAGCCAGCATACAATATAAGGGAGGGAAGGAGGCTGCTCCTCCCTTCGGCTCCGGCTGCCTTTGCTGTCTTCTGCCGTAAACCGCTGCCTCTGTGCCACGCAGCCCTGCCTCGGAGCCTGCTGATTACGGACTGAAACCTCCACAATGGTGAGCCAAATAATCTTTCCTCCCCTGATTTTGGGTGTTGGGTATTCTGTCCCAGCAATGAGAAAAAAGTAACCAAGACACAAAGTGTCAAAGGACAGAGTAGAGAAGATCAGAAGGGCTGAGAATGGAGAAGGAAACGTGCAGAGACCGGGCCTCGCTGGGGCAGAGGCAAAATCTGCATGAATGCCCTCAAGTCTGGACGTTTCAGAGTGAGCAAGGGTCAGGCCTTCAGGATACCTGCCCCGAGGATTCACATGCACATCATGTAGAGGTACACACGACAAAAACTAAGAGGACCAAAGACAAGGACCAAAGTCAGAGAGCTGGCTGGACACCAAGACAAAATGGGTGCGGGAGTCAGGGACGACTCCACTGACTGCTCCAACAACTGCAAAGGGTACACTTTTTTTGAAGTTTAGTAAGAAAATTTAGTCAAATAGGTCAAATTCTAGGCGGCAAGATGAGGCTTAATAAATTTCAAGAAACAACTTCACCTCTTCCATTGTCCTTGAGATCCTAACCAGAGTAATAGGACAAGAAAAAGTAAATAAGTGATAAAGAATGGGAGCACAGACAAAACCGCCACTGCTGTTTATGTTGGAGATCTGAAAATCTACCAAAAAAATTAAAATATCCTTGGATTAAAAGGTACACTTATACTAGGCATGGTGGTGCACACCTGTAATCCCAGCACTCAGGAGGCTGAGGCAAGAGGATTGCTGCAAGTTCAAGGCCAGCCTGGGCCACATAGTGAGTTCAAGTCCAACGTAAAATACAGAGCAAGTCTTTGTCTCAAAAAATAAATTTAAGAATGCTGAATGTCACAGACTGGCAGACAAAAAATCAATGCTGTTTTCAGGGGCCTGGCTCGGGGGACAGGGGCTCAGCTCCTGCTCCAGGGAGACCGTCACCCCAGACTCCAGACAGTAACCACATAGAGAAAGAGAAAATGAGGAGTCTTAGTGGGAAGAGGGGGAAAGGACAAAAGAGAAGCACATTTCCCCCGGGCTCTGCAGTAAATCACCATGGCTACTGACACTGGAAAGTGCTTCTTGTGCCAGTTTTTACAGAGGAAACCAAAGCTCAGAGGGGAAAGAGCGGGGCCCAGGGGGGAAGCTCAGACCCCGCATCTGGCTGCCTTGTGCCTGTGACAGCGGTGGCACTGGTTAGGTCAGCCTGGCCTGTCACACAGCCCTGCCCTCCTGCTGTGGGAGAAGTTAGTCCAGCTCCAACCCCACATGGACTTTACTTATTTTTAAAAGTATATATATATATATATTTTGAGACAGGATCTCGCTGTCAATTCAGGCTGCAGAGATCCTCCTGCCTCAGCCTCCCAAGTGCTGGAATGACAGGTGTGCACCACCACATCCACTTTAGACTTTTCCACGTAGACTTTTCCTAATCATCTCTCTGCCAGTAGTGGCTGTGTGGTGCCAGGTACTTTATTTTCCTGAAGGTCTGCGATTTTGTCTCTGAAGGGAAGTAACATTTGCAGCCTCAAGCCACGGGAAGCACAGTGCTTCTGAGTAAGACAGATGTGCAATCTTTGTCCACCTGCCTGCCGCCGTTAGGGTTACCTGAGGGTTAGGCTTCCTGCTTGGTGTGGGGGGGCCTTTTAGTGGGTTTTGGGGGACCCAGCCCTCCCCCCTCTTTTTCACCCCGCCTCTTGGGATCAGTAGTTTGCTCCCACCTGAATGGGCTGGTTGACCACCCACAGCATAAGGGGGCGAGCCGCTGATCCCAGATTAGAGCCCCAAAGCAGGAGTCAGAGTGGGCCTTTTTGCTTCATGAGTGGGTTGTTGCCGGTATTTCGTTATGGTGACAAAGGCAACTTTCTACACACAAAACGTCCGCACACGTGCACATGCACATGCATGCAAACAGTGCACATACACGCACACACATGTACACGTGCACACATGTACACGTGCACACACAGGCACGCGCACACACACATGCACCTACATGTGCACACCACCTCTTGAGGACAGGCACAGCCGCACACAGAGAGCTGACCGTGCACAGAGCCCAGGTGGCTCCGCGCTTCAATGCCCTGGAGGATGGAGCTGAGGACTCCGAGGGGCCCCGCACCATTGGACTTGACCCTGCGGAGGGCGACTCGGTGGGTTCTCCTGCGCAGCCGCGGCCCTGTGGGGTCGCTCAGGCCGGGCTCGTGCTCAGGCAGGCCCTGCGGCCAGGCCAGGATCCCTGCGGTCTGCGTCTGAACTCGGGCTCCGCCCCGGCGCTGCCGGGATGCGATGCTCGGGGATATCGGGCTGGGCGGGGCCCGCGGTCACTGCAGCCTGCCGGGCCCCGAAGTTCCCCGCTGGCCGGTGAGCGGCGGCCGAGCCGGGATCCAAGCCCACCCTCGCGCCAGGGTGCGGCCAGCGCCATGCGTCCGGGACCCGCGGGAGCCCAGGGCTCGGCGGAGGCTCGGGCTCGGCCCCACGGGCCCGGATTCTGAGCAAAACCCTCTGCGCTGGTGCGCCCGCGCAGCCTCGCCTGGATGGAGCGGTCAGGGTGTCAGGAGGACTCGGGGCTGCTGCGGGGCGCGGCTTCATCAGCTCGCGGGGCGCCAGCCAGGGACTCCAAGCCAGCCGTGGTTTGCACAGCTCTGAGCGTGCTTAAAATCCACCACGGAGCTGCCCCGGGCGCACACCCCGTCGGGACCCTGTAGCTGCTCGAATTGTTCCTCAGTAAAGCGGTTTAGGACCCTAGAACGTGAGTCAGGAGTGGCGGTGCACTCCTGCAACCCCAGCACTCGGGAGGCTGAGGCAGGAGGATCCCGTGAATTCGAGGTCAGGCTGGGCTGCAAAGTGAGTTCAAAGCCAGCCTGGACTACACAGCGAGACCCTGTCTCCAAAAAAAAAAAAAAAAAGAAGAAGAACAGAGAAGTCACCCTGAAGTCTCCGGGTCACCACGCCCTCAGGCCTGAGCAGGAGGCGCCCAAGTCACGCGCCCCCCTTTCACTCACTGCTCCACGCTGATCCCGGGCCAGGGCGCTGTGCCCGCGCACAACCGTGGGCCGGCCCCGCGCTCCAGCGCCAACTGCCCGGGCCCTCCGCACCCGTTCCCGGGCCTCCCACAGGAGGCGGCGCACTCCCAGCTCTGTTCCTGCCCCAAGCCTGCAGCTGCCGCCCGCTGAGGACTCCCCGGTTGCGTGCGCCTGCACACCGGAGGCTGAGGCATGAGCATCGTCCTAAGTTCGGGGCCAGCCCAAGCTACTTCGCAAGACTGTCCCCAAAATATCAAAAAGTGAATAATAAAACCCCCAGGAGGAACGAGGTTCTGGGCGCCGCCGAGGGAGGGCAAGTCCAGCCCTGCGCGCCGGTCTCCTTCGCCCTTTCTCCAGGGCCCGAAGCCCCTGCCCACGCCGGCGGCCCAGGGCGCGCTTCCCTGAGCCTCAGCTCCGCAGCACGGCGCCCTGCAGGGTCCTCGGGGGCCCGGGTCTGTGCCGCAGCCCCTCGGTGGCGCCGCTGCCCGCGCCCGGCCTGAGAGCCACCCCGGCTCCGCGGGGCCCAGCGCACCGAGCCCGCTGTTCCCGTCCCGCACCCGATCCCCGCTGGTAGCCCCGTGACAGCCCCCAGCGCCCTGAACGCACAAAAGGGCGCGGCGTCCGCACACAGCTGCAGGACGGGACCCCGGACCCCTCGGAATGAAGGAGCCGGGCAGCTGCCGTGCGCCCCGAGGTCGCCTGCTGCAGTAAAAGCGGGAAGCGTCTGAAAGGGTGCAGGGAGCTGGGCCGGTGGCGCGCGCCTGCCATCCCGACACTCAGGAGGCCGAGGCAGCAGGATCGCTGCGAGCTCGAGGCCAGCCTGGGCCAGAGTGGGACCCGGTCTCTGATAATAACTACAGCAGCGGCAGACCCGGCTCACAGCACCCCAGCCCCGGGAGAGGCGCTTCCACCCCATCCCAAGGTGGCGGTCACTGGGCCGGCCCGGCCCTTCCCTGCCCTGCAGGTGACGCGGGGAGGGGTACCGACCTGTGCGGACGGCGCGGCCGGCGGGACACGCTGGCTCAAAGGCTCGGCGCCGCGCTGGACTCCCCACGCCCGGACTGGACCCGACCCGGGGGAGGCGCGGCCGGGTCGCAGCCAATGGGCGCGCGGGGGCGGGGCGGAGTGTCCTGGTCCCTCCCCCACCCGGCCGCTGGGCGCGGAGGGAAGCCCACCTGTGACCGGTGCGGGCCACGCCCCGCGGCCCCAGAGCCCTCCTGCCTCGGCCTCCCTGGCTCTGCAAGGCCTGAGCACCGTACTCCAGTCTTGGAAATGTAGGAAGCACCCGGCGGTGTAGACTGACTGTGCGCTCACCTCCTGGGTGGTCGGGGTCAGAGCTCCTCACCGCGGGGATTCCGCTCCTGCATCAGCCCGGCACTGGGCAGCTGAGGCAGGAGGACAAGGCCAGAGGCTCTGTCTTGACCCAACCCCAGCGTCCAGTTCTTCCTGTGCTCTGACCCTGAGCCTTTGCGCGGGCTGCAGCCCAGCCCTTTGCATCACTGTAATTTTGGGACACGGGTTCTCTGTGTCGCTGAGCTGCCCGAGATGCTCCTGCCTCGGCCTCCCAGAGCGCCAGGTGACGGGCGCGCGCCGGCTCAGGGCTCTGCGCTGTAACCTGTCGCCGGCTCGCAGGGGCCAGGGCGCTGCCCTCGGCCGACCTCGTCCTCCCGCCTCGAAGCGGGGAGCGGGCAGCGCGGGGCGGGACCCAGGCCGGGACTCGGCGACCTCGGTTCGGGCGCTCCCGCGCTGCGCGGGGAACAGCGCCACCTGGCGTCCACTCTGGGCGCAGCGCTGCCCTCGCGTTTCTCTGGGGAGGCCAGCGCGATGGCCCAGGCCAGGGGTGAGGGCGGGGATGGCATTGAGTCGGTGGTGATCCTGGAATATAAATCACGCCTGCGGAAGCCCACGCGCATCTGGGTGAGGTGCTGCACGCCTGTCATCCCAGCACGGGATGCCGAGGCAGGCGGATCGCTGAGTTGAGGCCCGCCTGGGCTACAGAGGATTGGCCTGCACCACATAGCGCGACTCTGTCATGTACAACTAGCAGGTGACACTGGCTGGACAGAGCCCTCGAGGACTCGCATGGATCTAGTCATCGTGTAAAACGCTGCAGGAAAAGTGCTGACTCGTCCTCTGTCTTGGTCACTCCGATGCTCACAGTCCAGGGAAGGCAGGACACGGCCATCCCACGGCCCCAGAGCTCCTGGGGTCTCCTGCTGCATCCACGGGCGGGGCCCAACCTGCTTCTGCACTGTGCACACGTGCGTTCACACACTGTGTGTGTGCAAACACGCAAGCCACAGGCACACACGTGCAGTCCGCCCTGTCCTCGGCCCGGGACCTGGCGAGAGGACCGTGAACTTGACCCTGGATTCCAGGTCCCGCTGCCACCCTGCCTCCTCCTCTGGGAGAGGTCACCTGGCGTGTGGAGACCTCAGGCGTAGCCACGGGCCTCAACCCGCTGGGGGAGAACCGCAGTAGAGTCACCGTGAGCCGCCCAGGCCCGAGGCTGAGAGGCCTGACCCTGCACCCTGAAGCCAGGAACTCGGAGCTCCAGGCGGCATTTTTGTTTTGAGGCAGTGTCTCACTTTGTAGTCCAGGATGGCCTTGAATTTGTGGTGATCTCCCTGCCTCAGCCTCCTGAGTGCGGGAATTCCCAGGCCCACGCCAAGCAAGGGCTTAGAGGTCTAAGCTCTGGGCCTGAGTCCTCCCCAGAGCCCCCACCCCTTTCCACAGGCGGGAGGAGGCCCCAGCTTTACCAAGTGTCCAGAAGGCGACCAGCAGCCCTCAGGAAAGACTAATTAAATAACAAATAAAAGAATTGCCCTTCTGCATTTGAATTGTATTGGGCTGGGGACCTAGCTCAGTGGTATAAGCACCTGCCTCAGTCCTGGTTTTGATTTCCGGTGCCCCCCAAAAAAGGAAGAAACAAAGAATGAAAATGGATGAACTCCGTGCGCTGTCTCCGCAGCCCCGGGCTGAGGCCGTGCCCAGCTGGCCCGCGCTGGCCCACTGCCTCCCTTGCCTGGCCCCAGACTGAGGGTGGAGGAGCCCCATCTTCCCGGCCCTGTGGCCCAGACCCGAGCCTCAGCTCGGCAGCCACAAAGCCCCGGGCAGGGGCACAGGGCGCGGGCAGTCCACAGTAGTCCCAGAGCGGCTTGGCCCGTGCGCCCCACCACCCGGCTGTCACCAGCCGAGAAGCCGAGGCCGGGAACCCGCTCTCTGCTCATGGGGAGCAGAGGGTGGCAGAGGTTGGGACTCCGTGGCGCCTGGTGTTGCCCAGCAGGCAGCCGAGGACCCTTCTGGTAGTGGCTACCAGATACTACACGGGCCGCTTTATTAAAGGGATTCCGACTTGTCATTCTCACCGTCAGAACATTAGGCGGTGTGCTGATGGACTCTAGGGATCCCAGCACTCGGGAGGCTGAGGCAGGAGGGTGCAAGGTGAGGTCCAGTCGGGGTCCGCAGAAAACATATAAAAGTCAGCGAAGTTGCTCCGTGTGAGGGCCCTGGCTGCCTCCTCCAGAACTGGAAAGAGAGGGTGTGCCAGGGGTGGGGAATACTGAAATATGTAAAATGGAACAATGCTGGCTTACTTCCCAAGAGCCCCTCTGCACGGGCTCACTAGGAGGCCTTCAGAACCACCCAGCTCTGAGCAGGGCCTGCAGCGCACGCCCGCCACCCCAGCACTCGGGAGGCTGAGGCAGGAGGATCACTCTCAGTCCAGGCCAGCCTGGGCGGCCATTAATTTGTGGGGCGCCTCTCTGGCCACCAGCGCTGGCTGGTATTGACTGAGCCTGGTTCCTTCCCAGGCGGGGAGGGACGCATTGGTTTAGCTCACGGCTGCGTGGGCAGAGTTGAGGTGACACCGCCTGGCACGTGGATGCCGCTTCCTAGCTCGTCCCTGGGAAGGAGTCCACCCTGCGGCCACACGAAGACCCTGGCACAGAGTCACGGCCGGACACCATTGCGGGGTTGCTGTGCTGGGTCCCCGCACAATCCCGCACCCCACTCCCTGCCCCGCTGCCCCCTGTGCTCGTCCCCTCAGAGCCACAGCTCCCCACGTCCTGCGCCTGGTTTATCACCAGAGCCACACTCGGGCCCGCAGGTGCCCGCAAAAGTTAAACATAGCAGAGCTGGGGAGGCCGCGGGTGGGGAGCCCTTCAAGTTTCGGTGGTGACCGAGCTCTAGGACCACTGCGGATCAATGGGAGACGCCCCGAAAAGCCACATACAGAAATTCCACGCGACCTGCCCTCCTCTTCTTCCCAAGAGCTAAAGACAGGGCAATCGGGGTGTACGCTTATTTACAGCAGCACAAACCCTAACAGCTGAACCTTAGGAGCAGCCTGCATCCTGTTCTGGGATGGATGACAGCGGCCTGGAGGTGCCCCTCGTGTGATCCCAGCGCTTGGTAAGCTGAGGCAGGAGGATGGAGTTCAGGGCTACCGGGATACAACGGGAGACCCTGTCTCAAAAAAGTAGGTGAAGGATAAATAACAAAATGAGGGAGCATCCATGGGAAATGGAGTACTACCGTGCCCCTCATTTCAGTGTGCGTTAACATGTGCTCCTGCAGTGACAGTAGATGGGCGGAACGGAAATAAACCGCTAAAACGTGTGCATAGAAATGAGCCTGCTCGGGCACTAAAGAGGACGTGCTTTCCTGTCACCCTGATCGGTGGCGGAGAGGGTGGGTGACCAGAGGTCAGCAGGAGCCCTGCGGCCTGGGGACTCTGGGGACGCGGGCGCTGTCTGCACTGCGGTGCTGACTCCCTCTTCCTGCCTCTAAGGTCCGCTGCTGCTGACCAGGTCGGTGCCGGTCCCTAGGCTCTGCTCAGGTCTCTGGCATGGAAGCTCAGGGTTGGAACTGTTCTCCCAAGAAGCCGGTGGGGGCGCCAGTTCCAAGCTCGGCCTTGTTCGTGGCTGGACTTGGGGGGCATTTGCTGACCAGTTGGTTGGTTACTTCTTTGTGAGACAGGGTCTCACTATGCCATTCAGGCTGGCCTTGAGCTCACTTTGTCATCCAGGCTGTTCTCGAACTTGAAAGGAACCTCCTGCCTCAGCCTCCTGAGTGCTGGGATTATAGGCGTCCACCACCACACCCCGCTCGGATAGTTGTTTTGAGACAAGACTTTGCTATGTAGCCCAGACTGGCCTCAGATTCACAGTGATCCTCCTGCCTTTGCCTCCCTGCTGGGATTCCAGGGACGTGCCACCATGGCCAGCACCCTTACCATAGAGTCATACCATACCATGCAGTCATACCCTGTCTCAAAGGAAGAAAAGAAGGAAGGAAGGAAGGAAGGAAGGAAGAAAAAAGATTTTTTGTTACTGCACAAAACAAACTGTGTTTTGAAGGTGAGGTTTTGATGCTCAGGGATCCATATGGCTCGGGGCGGGGAGGACTCAGACCCCATCCAGGGCCATTCACTGTGGTACAGAGGACCCAAAGCCGGTCACACCTTGGAGAAGAGATGATTCTGTGACCCAGGGCATGTGATTAGGCACTGTGAGGTGTTGGGCGCAGGCGCTCAACATACCATACCCCCACCCGGGACTAAGGACCACGCCAGCTTCCGCAATGCGCTACATCCCTCTTTAAATTAGCCAACCCGTGTGCACTTCGTGCTCACTCCATACTCTGTGGCAACTCCTGATTGGCCACAGCTGGATATAGTAGCCAGAGCTTGCATCCCATTCCCGCCCTGCTTCCTCGTGGCAGCCTGTGATTGGTCACGGCCAAATATATAAACCAGAGCCCGCATAAATAAACTAGCAGTTAACTGTCGTCCACAAAAGCGTCTCCTGTCTCCTGTTCATTGGAGCTGCGCCGGTCAACTGGTGGCCTGTACGGGGAGCCCGGAGCGCTGAGACCCTCTCTCTGACAGTACGAGGAGAGCTGAGACCCTCTCTCCGATGGAACAGAGACGTTAACAGGTAAAACCGTCAAGCACTGATATCGGGGGCTACTCGGCAGGCGGGGGCTGACAGGTTAAACTGCTCAACGTTGGTAGCGGGGGCTACGCAACAGGCAGCGGGGGCTGCGGGCCGGATAGCGGGGGCTATCGGGCAACCTTGGGCG